CAAGAGATAATTTAATCCATAAAGTAAAATAATAGAAGAAAAAGAAAAGAATTAGCAGAGTGAAAAGTAATCATGGTTGAGGAAGAAAAACCTGGTCCAATGAAAGAAGTGAAGTTTGTGTTGGAAAGCAAACCACCCAGAGCCATTGGTAATGCAAGTGAGGAGCTATGAGAGTGAGAACTGAAAAGTGAGAAGAAGGGTCTTACACCATTTCACAGCACAAAAACATAATTCAAATTCTGCAAAAATGATGTCATGTCATCCATGGATAATGGAAATCTCTCACTCCATGCTATGCTAAGCTATTGGATAAGCAGATCATACAAAATTGTGTTTGAAAAGACATTAAAAACTAAAAAAAATGTTTTTTTTTTTTCACAACCTTTTGTTCATGTAATCATAATACAATTTTTCAGATAATTAGATGATTTTTTGGGTATTTAATAGAATATGAAATTAATGGAATATGAAATTAATGGAATATGAAATTCCAGTTGCCTTTTCAGTAAGAAAAAGGGGGGCGGAGAGCGTGACACGTGGCACGTCATCCTTGCAAATAGTTGGCCAACTGTACAAAATAGTGAAATTATCGATATACCCCTTTGGATCAGTGTACTTTTGGTACTGGTAACTTTATAAGAGGAAGTGAACCGAGGGTTACTATGGAAATATAAAAATTTGAAACCTAAGTCTTGACAGCTTGTCCCTGCAGAAAAGTGCAGGAGAATATATTATTATTATTATTTTTAGTGTTATTATTTATTTAATTATTTTTTTAGAGTGTTTCAAAAATACTAAGGGATGCTATTTTCTTAGGTTCAGTCGTGGAATATTTTGCTTTAGACACGTGGCTTCTTCACCAACGTTAAAAGTGTTCTGTGGTTTTGTATGGAACATGTGTTTCTCAAAGAGAGGAGTTCATTCAAATTGCAAAAATTATTAATTTGAAGCTTCACATAACTCATATCCACTAATGAAGAACCAAGTGTAATAATTATAATTTATTTTCATGCTATTATTTAAATAACTAAAGTTAAATACTTTTTTTAAATCATTAAACATTTCCTTAGTTCTTTTTTATATTCATCGTTGCTTCATTTTTTTCATCATTCATCTATATAATAATTATGAAAAATATCACATTTAAATATCCCTAATTGCCAACAACTACCATAATGGAAACATATCCCGAACTTATCAATGGTTTGTCCGTCTGTGTCGGTATGGTGAAAAGTTAGGATGAAATATAACATGAGTTGTCTATTAAAAATAAATCAGTTTTGATACAATTATTCTAATTTTTTTAGATTTTAATCATATTTTTTTATTGTGTTGTTAAATATTTTAAAAAATATTGTCTCGTTTTAAACATCAATAACATCTTAATTCAAATGTTTTTGAACAATAGAGATAAATGAATTTTATTTTCAATACAACCACAAAACATTACCACACATACTTTTAACCTAGTTAATTTTTTTTTTACTTTTTTGGCAAACGGTTTTAGACCAACATTTAACTCGTAATATATTAAAACTGTAAAAATAATTTAAACATTATTTTAATTTGACATGTCAAAAATATTTAATATATTTATATTAGGAAAACTATAAGAATTTAGAATCCAAAATGTATCGATGTATAAGATAAAAATAATGCATTCAATTTATAAAATAAAAAACATATTTAACCTTAATCAAAATAAATATATTAGGATATAGAATTAAAATAATAAATGAAATTTCAATTATTTAGGTGTATAATAAATGGAATTTTCTTTATTTTGAATTAAAATTTGTTATTTAAATATAAAATTTGTAACATCTTATATTAGTATACACTACTAATTAGACTATTATAATTTCAATATTAAGCATAAACATTCTCTTACATAAATACTTTGTATTATAGTCCTATGAGAATTTTAAAATATATACATAAACTATCTTTCAAAAACTAAAAAGCTTCTTGAATAAAGTTTCTACAATGTAAAAAATCAATTATATAAAATATGCATATACTATTCTAAAATAAAATCTCAACAATCTCATTTTTTTTATCATTCTCACCTATTAATTAATGTATAATTAAGAGTGAACATAGATTGAATTTTTCAATACACAATGTAAATTCATTATAGATTTAATATTATCTAAATAAACTACAGTTATATCTCTTCAATCTAATTTAATTTGGATTAAAATTATATCGAATAAATTTGGTGAGATCGATTAAATATACTTGATTTTTAAGTCATTAGATATGGGCTAGGCCAATTTGGTTTGTTACTTAGTTTAAGGAGATTTGACTCGACTCTTGGTCAAGGACAACTAGGGTCGACTGTCAAAAACGACCCTTGATCAGAGATGGTTTGAGTTGATCCTTGACCCTCGGTCGGGAATGACTCGTGTTGACCCTCGGTCGGTGAAATTCAGGTAGATTCTTGTTCGACAACGACTTAGATCGACTCTCGATCAAGGACAACTTAAGGAGACCCTTGGTCGTGGGCAACTTAGACCGATATTAGGTTAGGGTTCACTTAACCAACTTTCGACATTGACTGAGTCGGTTAAGGGCAACATGGGCTAACCTTCATTAGGATTGATGTGAGCATAGTTTTGATTGGGACACCCAAGACTGCCTCCACCAGAGTCAACTCATACTGACCTTTGACCAAGATTAATGTGAATCGACCTTCGATTACGACTAACATTGGTTGACCTTTAATCAAAATAGAATTGATTTTTGACTAGGATCATCTGGCCAACTTTCAACCTTAATCAACTTGACTAAGATCAACTTAAGTCGAACTTCAACTAAAATCGATGCGAACCGACTTTTAGTTAAGATAAACTCATATTGACCTTCGAGACAACCTTAGAACTTAAAAATAATTTGAGTTATGCATCTTAAAATTTGTTTTTTAAAAGAAAAATTATATATTAGTAAATACTTTTTAAATTGTGTAATTTAAATTTTTTAAAAATTATTTTTGACAAAATGAAAATTTAATTTTTATTTTCATAAAATATTTTTGAAGAAAAATATTTTTATTAACTTTCGAATGGAACAACTCATAAGATAAAACAAAGGGTGTTGCTCCCTCCACCACCACACATTTCTCCCTCCACCTCCCATTTACTATTTTGCCCCTAAGTAAAATTTTACTTTTAGGGTTATTATTTTTTAATTTTACCCATTCATAACCTATTTCACTAATAACCTATTCTAGTCACCCGTACATGAGTAAAATACTTTTCTTTCATTTTAACATTATATTTCTTCCTCTCTTTCTTTCGTCGATGTGAGATACTACAAGTTGCAAAGGTTGGTGGTGGTAGAAAGAATTATCAAGCAGTCTCCCTCTCGTGATGCAGTGTAGCTCTCATGGTGCAGTACGTGTGTTGCTTCTCCAGGTGCGTATTCGAATAAACCTTCAAATAAAACCCTAAAATAAAAAACGTAACCTTTAAACGGAGGTGACATCCTTCAACGGATGTCAACATCCGTTGAAGGATGTCTAAAGGTTACGTTTTTTATTTTAGGGTTTGTTTTATTAGTTTATTCTTTATTTTGAAAATATTTTAATAATTTAATTTAAATGTTTTGATTTATTATTTTTGAATATATTTTTAATGTATTTTAATAATGTAAGGAAAATAAAGAAGAAAGAAACGGATGAGGAGAAGTGAAACAGAGAAGACAAATGGGGTTGCAGAGTAAAACGGAAGACAAATTGTTAAACGGAAATGAGAGATGGAAAGATTAGGTGCAGGGAGTAAAGTAGGAGAACTAGGTTTGAAATAAATTAAAATAGTAAAAGTAAAAAAATTTAATCTGAGGATATAATTGGAATTAAAAAAAATTGGGAAGGTGGAGGGAGAAAGGTGTGGTGGTGGAGGGAGCAACATCCGGGTGTTGCTCCCTCCACCACCCCAAGTGCTCCTGCACCTCCCCACTATTTTCTTTTATTCCAAAAATACTCTAGACCTCCCCACTATTTTCTTTTCTTCCAAAAATATCCTACACCTCCCCACTATATTGAACAATCTTTCTCTTTTTCTCTTCATGTTATTGGAGCATTCACATGGCTCAAATTTAAACTTGTGATATATTGCAAAATTTTATTTACACTTTTCCTTAAATAAGTTTGATTCAATCTTATTTTCACTGTTCAATATATTTTTTTTCTTCAAATTACTTAATAAATGGTAAAATTTTGTTCTAAATTTCTAGAAAAATGTTTATATATATATATGTGTGTTTCTTTTTACATTTAATATCTATAATTTTTAACATTATATTATGTTTTAGCTTACCGACATGTTTGACTCAGATAACTTGAATAAAGTATTTAATTTATTAGATAAATAATATAAAAATATTATTAAATACTTAAAATATAAAAGAAAATTATTTGTTAAAAATTTGAAATTTATTTAGTTCTTTCGTATTATAAAGTTAGTATATAATAATAATAATAATATATTATTTACTATTAATATTATTATGTTTACTATTTTGTATTTGCATCTAACTTTTAAGTTTATAAAATAGAAGTGGTAGAAGGATTAATATTAAAGTTTCCTCCGAATTTTATATTTTTATAATATATCACAAGTTTAAATTTAAGCCATATAAATGCTTCATTAATTAATGCAGAGAGAAAAAAGGAAATATTATTGAGAATAGTGAAAAAGTGTAAAATATTTTTGAAATAAAAAAATAGTAAAAATATGTAAAATATTTTTGAATAAAAAAAAATAATAAAAAAGTGTAGAAACACTTGGAGTGGTTAACTGAACAACACCTTCCCAACTCTCTGAGGTTGAATAATACAATGCCAACAACCCACTTGGAAAGAGGCGAAAGGTTCCCAGCTCCAAGACGGCGTCGTTTAAGGTCCTCTTCATTACAATTTTTCTATCTAGACAATAAGAATTAAAAAAAATTAAAACTCTTAATTTCCAATTACCAATGTCAAACCAAAATTTCTATTTTATTTTTATTCATCCAAATCAAAACTCTTTCTCTCTCCTGTTTCTCTCTCTTCCATTCTATCTATCCATTTCTGTCCATCGCCGACAACCGCCAATTCCCTCCATTTCAAAGCAAACCCCTTTCTTATCTCTCTTTTCAGGTACTCAATCCCCTCTTCCTCCACCTCTTCGTCTTCTTCTTCCTCCCTCGCTGTTGCTCTCTCTCTCTCTCTCTCTAACACATGGATTGCCTAGCTCTATTTGAATGCAAGAAAACTTTTCCCATTTTATCTTTGCCACATCTTAGTGCCTTTCCGACATTAGCACGTGGTAAATAATCGCGGGTCATCTTTAAAATGTGTTTTTTTGTCACCTCACGTAACCTGTATATGTTTGCTGTTGTTGTTGGGTTATTTATTTTTTTGCTAGCTGGGAATGATGCTGTAACAAAAGATGGTGTTAGTGATTTTGTTTTGCAACGGAAATGGTAAATTTTAGGCTATTTTTTTTCAGTCTGCAATGACTTCTACTGAAGAGGGGTGATTGTAGTGTTGTGGGAATGAGAATTCTTGATGTGATGGGGAAGTGCTTTTGGTTTACTGCTGGAGTGGTTGTTTTTATACGAGAATTAACTTAATATAATTGGAGGGTGCTGGGTGATAATGAAAGTTTGGTGCTTGTGAGGTTTTATATGCTCTAAGTTCTTCGAAGACAGTTCTAACTTGTGACTGTAAGTTTATGTAGAATTTTTAAAGACGAGCAAAGTATTGGTTAGATGAATTTAATGGTAGCTTGCTAGGGTATTCTGCAATTCTTACATGCGAGGTTTTTTTTTTAGAATTGGTGCAAGAGGGTGCATTAGGTGTTACTAATTTATGGAAATGGATATCAGAAGACGTTGTTTGGTGTGTGAAAGTACTATTAACTATCTTTTGCTATAAAACTAAGAAATTTACAAGGATGTCTTATACACAAATATCACATAGCTTGTAATGCTATGTTTGATCACTTGTTCAAAAAACCTATATGAAAACAGGGCTGTTGTTTGTCAAATCATTATAAGTATTTGCATGTATATATTGATGAAGCAAAAGCTGTTGGTTTAAAATCTTTATGTAGATACATATGTGAATAGCCATAAATTCATTTTTAGAGAATTTAACATTTTTCGCACTTTGTTGCGATCAACATATGTAATGTTTATGTTATCATCCTTGAATTTTAAGTAGTATATGTTTGCTTACTATTCATTTCCTTAATGGCATTTTCTGCTCATAGTGACTTCTTGTTCTGGTTTTTTTACAGTTGTCGCTCAAAACTTGCAATGTTCTAAATTATTCTCCATTCTTCACTTTCGCAAGTTTACATCTGTTTTGCAAATACTTTTACGGACCATGCATATGAGAGATGTTGCTGGAGCTTCGAAATCCTTATTGCAGAATAACTATGACAACTGGATGCATTATCTGACTGTCTGGATTTGAAGTTTACATTTGTGCTTCAGCTAATATTGTTTGCATCACAGAAACTTTCACCAATAGATTTTACTTTTCAAATTGGTTCAATATGTCAGAAATTGACATGGCGGTTATTAAACCAGAGGTATGCTACTTTTCAGTACGGATTTTTTTTCTTAACCAATCCATGTAGTTCAGGGGTTAAAATTTTATTTAACGTTGTATCACTTTGGGTTTTTTTTATCTTGTTCGTCTCATTTAGATTTGGTAGTCATGCGTGCTGATTTTTTTTCTTTTAATCTTTATTCGTAAAGGGTACATTCCACTGTAAGTTTCAAAACTTTATTAGTATTAATCTTTGCTACTCTTAGAAACTGAAGTTTAAACCTAATTCAAGTTCACAAAATTGGCTTGAAATGTGATGTTTGCACCAATATATGTATTATAATTTGGTTATATATCTAATTGACGTGGAATTTTTAACACACTCTCATATTGATAATTAAACATCTTGAGTGTGGGAATGGATGAGGCCCGATTGTACTTGACATGATAGGTCCAACAAATTTCAATAAGATAGATTTTTAGTGAATGTGAGATCTCTAACTTATACTATAGTTTTATTTCTCAGTTTAAAAATATTTGAATAAGTTAAATTTTGTTGTGAACCATATCATTCTCTTACAATGTTTATTGTTTTCCCTCTCTGGAGTTGTTGAGATTTTAGAAACTGTAGATAATTAAATGGTGTTATATGGGCTGAGGTTTTAGACCAGAATATGAATTATCTTTAGTTTTGGCTCTTAAAAGGATGAGTTTAGAGAAATTGCTATTACACTGGATTAGTTTTCCTGTATGTTAATCAGTACTAGTATAACTTAAGTTCATTTGTTAATTATTATAATAAAAAACTAAGTATCATTAAAATTAATTATTAATGAGTTGGTACTCCACTAGATTAGTTTCAGATTGTTATAAGTTATCAGTCATAACAAAATACAAGAATACAGCTGATAAAATGAGTTATGCACTCACACTGGAGTATTTGGTTCTGCCAGAGAAGCAAAAAGCTTGTCTATTTTTTTTCAGTCCCAGTTGCTGATAGATCCTTAATTTCATATAAAAAATTTCAGATGATGAAGCCTTATATCTGGCTTGAGACATCAGATGGTTCAATCCAGCAAGTGGAACAAGAAATTGCAATGTATTGCCCTTTGATTTGTAAAGAAATAATACAAAAAGGGATGGGATCTTCCAAGAATTGTGCAATATGTCTTCCTCAACGAGTCAGTCCTGCAACATTGAGCTTAATTCTTGATTATTGTCGTTTTCATCAAGTACCAGGTCGCTCAAACAAGGTTCTACTACCGGCTCTACCTCTCTCTAATTGTTATTATCTTTGTAAAAAGATAATTTAATGCTGAAGAACAATATGTCAAGATGATCTTACCTGGGGGTTGTTCTTTGTATAGGAAAGGAAGTCTTATGATGAAAAGTTTGTTAGGATGGACACTAAGCGGCTGTGTGAGTTGACATCTGCTGCAGACAGCCTTCAGTTGAAGCCATTGGTTGATCTTACAAGTCGTGCACTTGCCCGGATAATTGAAGGAAAATCTCCAGAGGAGATACGTGAAATATTTCATTTGCCTGATGATCTAACTGAGGTGTCTGGTGCTTGTGAGAACTCTGTATGCCAATTATGTCTTCTTTCATCTTTAATTCTCTTTTTTCATACATGCTTTTGATCCAGGAAGAGAAGTTGGAGCCCTTGAAAAACACAACTGATGACCCAAGGATCAGGCTTTTGAATAGATTGTATGCCAAGAAGAGGAAAGAACTAAAAGAGCGTGAGAGGTTGAAGGTACAAGTGTTGTTTCTTTATTTATCATATTACCTACAGTATATGTTACATTGTATATGTATTCCTTGTTCCTTAATTAGATTTTACCAATTAAATTGAACTTTGCTGCTAAGATATGTCTGTCTTGTATCTCTTTATCCTAAATTTTAGATTGTTGAATTTAATGAGAATTGGTCATTTGCATGTTTCAGAGTGTTGAAGTTGAAGAAGAGCATATAGATAAACGTTCCGTTGATGATCTGTTGTCTTTTATTAATGGAAATGATGAAGGTAAAACATTTTTTATCCCTGTTTTTTTCTTGCGTTTACTTCCTGCCTCTTTCTGTAGATTGGTAAAATACATGCCTGTTCATCCCTAATTGAAATATTTCTATTTTATATTATATTTGGGTCTCATGAATTTATTTTTGTGAAACCTACATGATGGACATAGTGATTGGTGTGATGATTGAAATAAGAGGAAAGATATTAATGACAATGACCAATGAGAACTATACAGTGACTGTTGGTCCTAACATGACAATTGTATGGCATCACTGAACCTACTATGCAATTATTCTATATGTAGCATGGTTTTTGATCGTTTTTGTTACTCATGTCTCGTATCTTTTACTTGTTTTTATTTAGAATAGTTTCCAATTCTTTGGGGGGAATGTTCTGAGAACTGTATCTTTTTTAATTTATTTTCTGGTTTAATTCCTTTGAAAGCCTAATTAATGATGAAGAATTTCGTCACAGATCAAAAGGGCATTAAAACTTCTAAGAATAAAAAGAAAAATAGAAGGAAAAAAGAGCAACATCAGAAGAACTCTTCTCTGAAGGAAGCTTCTGGAGTGAATAAGAAGGTTGTTATAAATATTCTGTTCTATTTTTTTAATGAAAAAATTCAATTATTTATCATGTAAATTATTAGTGTTACCTTTTTTTATCTCATGATAGGAAGTAAATGGTCAAAACATCAGACCTCCAAATTCTGAAGCTGATATAATTGCTGAGACTTCAATTTCACATACTGAAGATGTTTTTGCTCATAAGGAGTTTGATGATGGAGATATAGATGATGGGATTGATCCTGCACTTAAGGAAAAAATTGACAGGTGGGGCTACATTCCTCGTGCATGTTTGGAAATGCTTTTTTGGGAGATAATTTTTTTAAAGTTCTCTCAGGAAGTTGTGATTAGAAAAGAACAATTATTTCTTCAAATAGGCATGAACCAAATGCACACTAATTATAATGTTTGCACTAAGTTGTTTCTAAAGTCTTTAGCATAGTTGCAGTGGCAGATCACAAGCTTTTCGCCTCATTAGTGATCTGTAGCACTTTGGAATAATGTTTTTTTGTGGAGTATAGCATATGCAGAGGACAGGGCATCAGAATGGTTGAACTCTATCCTTGTACAAATTGTACTTTTTGAGTCATCTATTACTGGTTGAATATGGCATGAAGTGTTTGTGTTTGTCAGAGGAAGATATGGCAATGCCAATTTGTTGGACTTTACAACTTTTTATGTTTTTTTTTAATCTTTGTTGTTTTCTGGAGGAGAATGATAAATTTAGAAATATTTTGTATCCTACATCAACTAGCCATTAATTTTTCATGACCATGAATATTGTAAAGCTATTAGATGGGTAATGCTATTGGATTTGCTAACTTGCTTAGGATGGCAACTAATATTTCCCCCTTTTCTTAGCTAAGTCTTGAGCAATATTATGATGATAATTGAATGGCCACTTCAGTTCTGCTTCTACTGTTTAAAAATGTGCTGATTATTGCTGAAGTGAATTCAGTTTCAGATATTAACTATATGATGATAACATCTTGAATTAGTTACAACTGGATAACTACCTTCACGAACTATAACTAGCATTCATAGTCACAGACAGCTGTACAATCTGCCTGCTCTTACACAAAATTGGTGAACATGTATAGGGTAGAACCCAATAGCTACTCTTCTTGCGTTAATTGTCTTCTATTGTTGTTTTAGGTATAAAAGGTAACATTTTTATGTAAAGAGATGCTATATAAATGTGCTTTTAAGATAATGTCCAGCACACCTTATGTGTTTGATAACCATTTTGAACGCAGGGAAGTCGAAGATTTTGCCCGACGATTAAATTCTGACTGGCCAGAGAGGATGCAAGAACTTTTATCGTCTGGACATGAAAGGAAGACGATGCTTTTTAGTCCCAATGGAAATAGTTTTCTACGGCGAAATGCTTGTATGTTTTTTCACTGTTTATGAGTGATTATACCTATCCATTCATCCTATGCTTGCTACCTTAAGTTAATTTTTTTCGAAAATGTTTCTCTCTTACTGAAAAAACTTAGTTGTATACTAAATTTTCCTGCATTCATTATCTTCCTTTTAAAATTAGCTTCTACAGTTTATCTGCTAAAGTTGCTTACATATATTTGGTGTTCTACTTTTATTGTTTATACACTTTTGTTTCTTTTTGATACATATTTTATACAAGTTATCTGTTAGATGCCTATTATGCAAAGTAAAAATTACATTTTACCATGTCCTATCAACTTGTAGAACCATGGTGCCCTATCATTGCCAAAGAAACTTCTAACCTTACAACTGAACTTGGCCACATTAATTTGGTAATCTTTCAGTCTGTTGTTATCTTTGAGTAGTGTTGAATTTATTAAGCACGCAATATAGTAATCAAGCACTTTCTTGACTTCGGTATTTTTGGTACAGCCTATTCAAAATGACAATTTTTCCATTTCATTTCACTCACTTCACTGGCAAATGCAACTCAATAAAAATATTTCTACGTACAGGATTGCGACTTGGATGCGTTGGAAATGAGTTCGTAAAAGATTGCAAGGCTACCCAGATGACTAATGGCTTTAACAATTTTGAGAGATGCTGACACATGCTAGAAAATTGTTGCATGTCAGTTATTTTTGTTTTACTGTTTAAATTGATTCTTTGTTGTTCATTATTAGTGTTCATCTCTGGTGCTATTTGCTGCTGGGGGCGTTCTCTTGTAAACTTATAGGAAAGAAATAAAAAAGGTTCAGGTTGTGGATTATATACGTCATGTTCATTTGGTTTTCGTTGCTTTCTTTTTCTAGTTCTTATTTAATGGCTCCTTTGTATCTCATGAATTTTTTAATTTTAGCCGAAACAGAAAAGTTGTTAACCTTGCATTAGCAAACCACTGAATAATTTTCCTTTTGAACATGTTATCATAATCCTCTTCGGATGATGGATCAGTGCATTGATTAAGTGACATGATAAATTTTTTGAAGTGATAATGGATTGGAGAGGAGAAATGAAGAATTGTCTTTGGACTACGGAGCTAATCCTGATACATACATGACCTTCCCATTTCCTCTAATCTCTTGCCTAAGTAAGCTTCCTGATCCTTTGAGATTGATAGAGATCTTTGGAGGTGCTGTTGTGTGATGTTGCTGTCCAGTTGGAATTGAAGTTTCTGTGAAATCTGAGACCGATTCAGCACTGCAAGCATATTTGATACATTATTAATTTCATACATGAAATAACAGAAATTTAGTCGTATTCTTCACAGTTCAAAAGTTCCAAATCATCATCATTTTCCAATCATCTCTCCATTGCTTGAAGGTTATCCATGCCTGTCATTTGGCTTGCCACTTAAATACATAATTTTAGCCAGATCATCGTGGAAGTATAAATATGAAAGGTGTAAAAAAAAAGACCCTAAGGAGGGGCCAGAATCAGGAAACGAATATCTTGAATCTCCTCGTTCCAGTCCATCTTCTATTTCAGAAAAAAGATCTATTCTTACAGTAGACAGTTTTGCATGGGTCCTCCATCATCTAGCAGTTGTGCAGGGTATCTCCAGTCGCGGGGGCTGATTTTAAATACATGCTATAATATATCATTTGGCTGAAATTTGGTTATGACAAAGTTACAGATGTTACAGTCTTCTAAGATTTGCTATAAGTCTCCTGTAAACTAACACCTAGGATGCTAACTGTGCTGGCGATTACTGGTTTGTTGATTGATCCTCTTGGATGTGAGGGCAAGGTATTTTTGGTTCCCCTCTTGTCCATAGTACCTTGAGTTCACCTCTCTTCTTTCCTAATGACAAAAAGGTTCCTGCAAATAAAGAAAAGGTTTCAAAAACTGGTTAGTGTTCATGGATAAATCTCTAGTAAAAAATAAGTATATCTATACGAAAAAAACATGGATAATTTCAGTATTTCAGCAGCCAATGGAATGGGTCCAAAATTTATTGTTTGCATAATAATCAATGTTTTAACTCAATGTTACTTGAGTTTGTATAATAATTTTACTAACCAAGTGTAAACGGGACTATATAAAGCAAAGCAGGTTGACCATGTCCATCCATCAAGTTCAGAGCCATGTATGTGATAAGGAGTCCTGCAGATCAAAATTCAACGAACATGGTGTTAAGACCAAACATATATATCACCTGCATATTTTCAGTCCAAGTACGTCCAGACACTTCAGAAAATTACCCTACCAAAACATTCTATCTAATGAAAAAGTACCCCCAGATCAAACATGGCATACCTAAACCATAAGCAGTCATTGCCCACAAGAAGTATCCATCTCGAAGGTTCTTCTTTGCTAACCAATCATACCTGTATACTCAATTATTAGAAAAAAGTAGGCACAAAGCATTCTCTTCCCCCTTCCAAAACGACTGTATAAGGAAGAAGATGAACAGAATTATTTAATGAATGAGTTCTTATGCAACCTTAGTGAAAACGCAACTAGAAGCCCTGGTAAGATGATGTCACCAAAACCAATGATGCTGTAGCCACCCCAAGGATCAAACAAACGTGGTATCTTGAGCAACATGGGGATACCATCTTCTCCACTCTTATCACCTCGAGCTACCTGCAAAGAAGAGAAAACGTTGCATTAATTTAATGAGAAGAAAAACATCGTGTTTAATGAGATAAAGAAAAGCTTTGTGAAGAAAGGTCCAAGGGAGATCTTGCATGAAAACACTCACCACTATCATGACACTCTCATGGAACCACCATTTAGAGACAAACACCCAGAAGATGTCATACAGGAAGGCACAACTGAGAAGAACAGTTCCAACCTTACAAAGAAAAATGAATATATTAGTGTCTTTTGTTAATTAAAAATAGCAGTAATACACGGAAGATCCTTATTCAATTGTTTTACTGAAATGGAGGCCCTTTTATCCATCCCAAGCTTAATTTTCAAGATTTTCAAAAAACTACCCAAGTAGGAGATGGTGCAAACCTTGAGATTTGGTATCCGCACAATCTGAAGAACTGTAATAATCAATGTGATACCCTGAAAAGTAAACGATTGATAAAAAAAAATTTAATGGAAGTTTGCAAGCTAGCCACTTAGAAAACCAAGTTCATATTATTATAAACATAAATGGAAAAACTTCAACTGGAGCAAGTAAGAGAGAAATTGAAATAGTGGGCACCCTACCCGAAAAAGAAAAAATAATAGGAAAAATCGTAACAATAACAATCTACAATCATTTGGAACTAACAATTGACATCCTAGTTTCTTGCATAGAAAGCAAAGGTTAGGAATCTGATAATTCTTTTTTGTTTTTCAGTTACCCAACACCGAGTAATTTTCCCGAGAACTTTACTGATTAATAACAAGTCCAATGATGTTGTATGATCTACACACCCGACCTCAGTTTCTCAATCAGTGAGACAAGACTATTGTTCAAATAACCAATAGAAAAGATGTTTTCCTCTAGAATCTTGGTTTACGACTTTATAACCAGAACTTTGTTTGTGAAACTCAGCAATATGCTCGCGTCAGCATTTTAATCACTGTAAGACCATACTCGTTTAAAAGCATTCAGTTTTACACCAGAAACATTTTAAAGGGAAGAAAATTATGCCATATGCTGCAAGGGCATAGCTCGTGATTAAATCGCACATTTCTATATTGGTCAAAACTACAAGTAGGAAAAATAATGAGCAGAAAAGAGTGTAAAAGAAGATTCCACCAAAAAGAACACATTAAAGGTAGCAGAAGTATTCTTACAAGAATATCTTGACCAATCCAAGCAAATGATACATGGCGATAGACACCCCAAAGCACAGCAAACACTATGCAGAAGGGAGTAACAGCAACTGTCAGATATGATACAGCACCAAAGAAGGGTACTTTCACAAATATTTGTGCAGCATGTTGGAACCATCTGAAACTGTACACAATGTAACGTCAAATCGATATAATTACAGGGGAATCTAGTAGAATAAACAGTTTACCTAATAGAATGAATGTCAATTCTTGCAAAGCTGACAGTAAGGAGAAAAACCTTGATGAAAAATTTATTTTTCAGAAATATAACTGTCAGTTGCCAAATTTGGTGCATAGAATTCAGAGTTCAACTATCCAATGCTATATATGACAGGCTTGCCACTGGCCACTTAGTCAAATATTCAACCCCCTAATTTGCTAACCTCCAACCATTTACAATAACAATCAAATTAATTAATCATTCTTTAACTCATAAATTGTTAACCAATGAACACCACAAATTCAAACAATAAGGAAACAAGGAAGAAATACATACCATGATAACAGAGCCACCAAGCATGTTTGTAGTCCCTGAAAGGACGTAGAGAATAAAGATTCATTCAGCTGCTATATATCAATAATAATATCACGTTGCAAATTGCAATCCTATGACCTAGGAAGCACAGATTATGATGCAAGATTCGAATATGATAAAATATGGACATGTGAATTCCGCATTTTAAAAACTGAAGAGGCAATATGGCTATAATATAACGTATAAACTTAATCTTAAGTAACCACTAAAATTTGATCATGAGAAATCTATGTCTTAGAGTGAGCACAAGTAATCATAAACATGATAAAGTATAAAAATTTCTCTAAATATTTTGGTATACTGACCAATACTGGCATATAAGTTAATGAGTTAAAAATTTATAGAAATGCAATTAAATGTATTCAAAGTGTCCACTTTGGATGTTGCATATTTTTAGGAAGCTTTCAGATTTGTTTCAGTTTGAACTAGTCAAATTTATTCTGTTTCATTATCTGGCAGTGGATTAGCTATTTCCTATTTTTTAGCTATGCTCTCGATGCAGTCGCCAGAATCATGAAACGCGAACTCTTAGTATGATATATCTGAATGCATTTAAATTAAGTTTCATTAAGATAATAAAATACTGAAGTTAGCATTCTCAGTTCCACTTTATTCTTTTATTAAGTCATCTTCTCTGTTTTCTTCTCTGTTAGCCACTGCCTTTGCCCCTTAAATTCAACAGATAACAATCTCTGGATTGATGGAAAGGGATGAAATGGGGGAAGAAGCAGAACAGGATTGAATGCAGCATATTCCATCCAATACCCCATTTCTCCTCTCCAGTTTGGAGGTAGGAGACAGAATCATCTTCTTCTTTTCTTTTTTCCCATATCCATCATATTGCACTCATTAAATATCCAACATAGGCATATTAACCTCTCCTCAAGTCAATAAAGAAACATCTTTAAAGAGGATGGAGCAGAATACCACCCAGAAGACTTTAAAATATGGACAAGGAATTCAGTTAAATGTGAAGGAAGCAAAATGTTGCTAAGTATATACAGGTGAAAATAACCACCCAAGATATGGCTCAAAGCATACAGAAGATGAGAAAAATTAAGAGTCATAACCAATAAGAATCGCCTTAGGAAAATGATAACTCACCTCAACCCCACCAATGCAAAATAGAACCACCAGAACTTCAACAAACCATGATGCCATGAATTTGTAAAGCATAACCAAGAAACAAGAAGCAATCACAACAAATGATATTGCTGCTGCAGTACTGATTTCCACATAAGCACTATAACCAGCATTCTCTGCATTTACATATTCATCTGAAGCATCCTGCAATTTAAACATACTATATATATGTTAGTAATTGATTTAATGACTCTTTCTTACTTTGAGAAGAAGGCTTCGTTTACAAAAAATAAATTAGTCTATTTTAAAAAGAGAATAAACTTTTGTTAAGGAAACCTCCATGCCAAGTCGGCAAGGAGCACAATCACTTCTTTGTTTTAATGAGCTAGTTTCCTTTCAGAATTTCTTCTGTGTCTTTGTTAACTTTTGTATTCCTTCTTTCGAACACCAAAATAATATTATCCTTGTATGAGGAAAAGTGAATAAAATTGGCAAGAAAAGAAACTAGGTAACCTTTAATAGCTTCTCCTGCTCAATGGCAGACTCTCTCGCAGTCCAGGCAGACCAGTAAGAAGCACAGAGAATACTACCAACAGCCATAAGCCATAAAAACACTTCTGCAACATCAACCATTGGACGATATGGAGAGTACAACTGCACAGACACTAGCGAGTGGAGAATTGCAAAGACTAATCAGATCAAGAATCATAATATAAAGTAGTTAATTTAAACTTTTGTCTGGTAAAAAAACTATAACTCATTACAAAAGAATAGGCACATAAAAAATTGAAACATACCCACTGAGTTGTTTAGTATGTGATTTTCCAAGTTTTCCCCAGCATCTTGTGGAAGCATGACAGTAGGTATTCCAATATCCACATCAGTTTCATTTGCTTCACAAACCATCTTGAAAAGTTCTGCACAACAAGGACATAAATAGTTGCTTACACAAGCAAGACACACAGCATTGCAAAATGATTGTTTATTCTAGTAAGCAAAGACATCTAACAAATAAGAAACAAAACTTTAGTATCCTCTATGAAACTACGAACCACAGGATCACATCACTTTTAATTGTAAATTAGGCATGGAGGAGAGGGAAATGAAACAAACTATAAGTTCAAAATAGCAAAAATTGCATGCAAACACCTGTACGGTAATTTATAATCAGCATGGCTGAAGCACCAGCCTGTTCAGCTATATTTGCCTTGGTTGTGAAACTACACTGTCCTCGGTGCACCAAAATGATCTCGCCAGTGAGCTAACAAATTGCAAGACACTTCGGATTACTAACTTACAAATATCTAAAAAAATCCAAGCTTTATAATCTGAACATCTATGCTTCACAAGCAGAGGAGTTGTATTTGGTTAGTTATAAAGCACAAAGTTAGAATACCTTATTCTTAGGTAGGCTACAACAATCAGGAGGATCAGCAATTGCAATTCTAGTATGGTTAGCACGTTTTTCTTTTGATTCCAGTGTAGGGCCAAACCTTGCACCAACTCCAACATACTCACAGCTTTCCACACCATCAATCCAAGTTGGAACTTTAACCTAACAAAAGAGCAATGGGTCAAATTTGTTAAAGAAAATACTCATTCATACTTTATACTTACCAATATTTGTAAGAAAATTGAAACATGCCACATGGTAGTTTGCTGAAACACAGAAAGACACAGGCCAAAAGGTTTACAATTTTGCTTATGAGATTTTATAGAAGTCTTTATCATGGTCCTGGTCACCATAATCTTGCTCAAATTCCAATTTAGAAAGCATTCAGGCACTTGGCATTTCTTTCTTTTCACTAAAAAACATACCCTCAATGGAAGAAGGCAGATCAAGGAAAAAAGATATACACGACTACAAAATTTCACGAGACAGATAATTGTTACAAACTTTTGAAGAAGAATTGAACAAGATTTCGAGGTCTTTTAGTGATGTCCAGAACACAAGTCAAGCTAAGTCAATCTCAAGTGAGAAAGTTAAGAGAATTGGCATGATTCTTCACATAGAGAGGGAGAAAATTGATGAAATCAAATATATAATATCAACTATAGCAGATAAAGCTACCATACTTCTATCAAATAAGAGATCTCTGCATTGCAATTGCCAGAAAAATACCACTGCAAATTAAACAAGGCTATTCGTTTTATTTTATTTTTTTAAACAAATGTCAATTAAACCCGTGACTAATGCATAGAACAAAAAAGAGAAAACTAATTTTACTTCCAGAACTTATGCCACAAACAATCTAAAACATGATTAAAGGTCTTATGTTTAATTTAAGAACAGAAGAAGAGAGTACTTTAATTGAGTATGCTCCACAGAGTGATTCATATGGAGGAAAGGGGATGGTTAAGGTGCAAAAGAGAATGAAAAAAATCTCATCTTTCCAAAACCAAGAAACTAAAATTTGAATTTTGATCAAATCCAACTCCCCCAATTTTGTTGAAAATGACTTAAAAAACTAGAAAGAAGAAAATAATAGCAATGTTCCTCTCCTTTTTCCAGCACCTCTCCAGCACCCTAACAAAAAGCAAAGCCATTTTTTCTTCAAAAGAAGAAAGTCTAGGCTTTTTACAATCAAATATGCATCAAATTCACATCAAACATAAAAAAAATTCAAAATTTGTATCCATTATTTCAGCTACCAGGACAAAGTTGTTCTCACAGCCAGGTCTCTTGGGAGCAATATTATCATGGTGCACTATGTCCCCAGCAAAACTGAAAGTGAAAAATATGATGAACAGAGAACAACACAGAGCACACGAAGCTCCAAGTGAACCCATGGTGGTGTGAAGTACTGAGAAACCAGATTCCAGATGCAAATTTGAGGGAAGAAACCAAAAGGGGTTTGTGTGTGAAGGTAAAGATTTTATCTTCGGAAAGAAAGAAAGAGGAAGAAGGTACAATGGGAATTGGGGGTGGAGGCAGAGAGAGAACAAGGACACAGTTTTTTAACTTTTTTTATTTATTTAATTTGTTTAATTTAATTCATTAAGTTAAATTTAATTTAGTTATTGGGTGTTTGTGTCTGTGGAATGCAGGATGGGACATGAGGAAAACACCGCGTGGTAACCGTTGAACTAGAATTTCCACTACTTTACGTTTGTTGTTAGGTGGGTTGGCCACGAGCTTCTTCTGTGCGTGATGTGCACGTCGCATTCCGCTTTTTTATTATCTTTATTTTAAAATAAAACTCTTATTTATAGTAAATAGAGATGAATGAAAAAAAATCCACTTATTACTTAATAAAAAAAATTATGTAAATTTTAGAATTTGAATAAATTTTTGTTATACTTATAAGGTATATTGAATATAATTTGATGAGAAGGGACTAACAATATTAATCAAAGTAAACTCTGACTCTAATTTAAAAGTAAAAGAAAAGTAATGTGAGGTTATCATCTTAAATTCAATTATGTATTATTGTCAACATTAAAAATTGATCATACGTACCTGTTGGTACAAATTAGTATTAGTAAACTACATTATCTGTTATGTTTTTTTTCTTATATTATCCTTAAATTTAAAAACTCTTTTAGAATATAATTTTTCAGATACATCATTCATCAAAGTGAACAAAAAAATCAATTGTTTAACAGAGTTTATTTCCTTTTATTTGAATGAAAGCTATATTAGGATATTTATTTTATGTATAAAATAAAATGTTATTTCGTCCTCGTGTATATAAAGTGAAAGAAAAAAATGTTATTTTTATAATCAATATGGTATTAACTTTGTGAGAGAGAAAGTTGACTAGTACAGAGTTGTTTTTATATATATTTTTTATGTAAAAGCAATATTTTGATTTTAATGTAATTTTTAGGAATATAAATTGTTTCTATTATATTAAAAAAAAAATTATAAAAACAATTGTGTAATATTCATAATTTCTTCCATCTTCTTTTTCAATTTTATCAATAAGTTAATCTTTCATTTCCCCTGTAGCTTTGAGAATAATAGTGAGATATTAATTATGCCATTTTTTTAGTTAATATCGAACATGCCATTTTATAAAGTAAAAATAATCCAAAAGTGATACAAATGTCTAATATATTTGAGAATTTCAAAATAGTAATGCTTTTTATGTAAAAGGATAACTGAAAATAATTTTCTATCTTTTGTTCTCTCTTCCCCCTTTTCTTGAACAAGATGCACTTTTAATTTGGTAAAGATAATATACTTTATTTAGTCGGAAGAGTAGAAAACATATATGATAAAAATAAGTTGTCAGAGTAGAAATAGATTATTAATAAATATAGTAACAATTAAAGGTATTTAATTTAATAAATAATGAGAAAGATAAAATAATTAAAAATGAAATAGACGTGGGTGATGCGCGTGAAAGAAAGTTGTAAGCAAAGTACATATGTTTACCGGCTACCTTCTGAACAGGTTCCTTTATTACCGTATGACCCGTACAGATAAGAGTGTTGTACGATCCATGAAGTTTGTGACTATATCCACTGCATAATCTACCATCTTTACCCTTACTCCTGTCTCTCTCTCATTGGTCATAACTTTTTTTAATTTGATTAAAATAAAAATAAAACAAAACAGAGACAAATTCATTTCTAAAAATAATTAAAACTTTATTCTTTCCATTTTGTCTTCAAATTAAAGATCAAATTTCTTTATCTTTTTCTTTATTTTTCTTCTGTCCAAGCAAACAGTCCCCAATGTACTGTGTATTTGAAAATATAGCTGTCTAATTAAGTATAATTGTACATTTATTTTATCTTTAAGTTGTTTTAATATTTTCTCCAATATTTCATACTGAAATTTGGAATAACAAGTTTTTATTAATATTTCAGATGTTTAGTTATAATAGATAAAAATGTTGAAAAATAAGTTATTACTTTTTGCTGTTTAAAAATAGATGTCAATGATATTTTATATTTTAAATCAAAGTAAAAAAATTTTTACTTGAAAAATTTAATTTTCCAATGCTAAATTCATGCTTCATGTCTGTTTGTTTAGATCAAGAAGGTGACTCATATTTGTTTTCACTAAAAGTAACTAATTAAAATCTTTATTTAAAATAAAAATACATATTAGAATCTAATAAATATTTTATATTTTTTTACATAATATGTTCCACATTTATAATATAGTAAATTTATGTTACATTTTCTAAATGTAAAATCCTTGAAAAACAATTATTCGGAATTCAAATCACTTTTCATTTAAGAGAAACTATTTGAATTTTTTGTTTATTGTTGATTGGAATAAATTTATCTTTAAATTAAATTTGATGATTTAAATATAATGAAATTTGTTAATGTTTTGATGTTTATGTTAGTTTTTGAACTATTTAGTGGCTTACAAGAGTCATTCTAGGCACTATGGTCTATTTTGTGTAGTTTGCATTTGCAATAAGTATAAAGTTATATTTTTCCTGTTTAGAACTTTTGGTTTGTTACAAAGGGTTGTATTTTAGCTTTTAATATGTTGATATACGTTGTTGGTTATATCTATCTTGTTTGAGAAAAACTCTCTCATTCAATATTTAAGTTAGAAATATGACCAAAACGAATGACTATTTCTTGCTCTTTCGATTTGTTGGTTTTTTTTTTTTTTAATGTTGTGTGTTGAATTACAACTCTGGAATAGTTGAAGTTTTTAATTCTTTTAGTTGTTCAAACATTACAAAATGCTATAAATATGGTTGCTTGAGCAATGAGGTTCAATAATAAAGTTTTCATAAACTCCTTATATGTTTGAATTTTAAATTTTAAGTTATCATTAGTTTAAAGTTGACTTAATATTACTTTCGATTTTTATTTTCGTTAATTTTGTTTCATGTGAAACTTGTTTTTTCTAATTTCAATGTAGTCTCTTAATTTTTTTTTTAATTTCTTATATGTATTAGTTTCTACTTATATATGTGTGTGATACTATGTATAAAAATAACAATAAATAAATTTAAATATAATAATTATTGAAAAATTTTAAATTGTTAGAAGATTTAATAAATAAAGTGAATTATTGTATAAAGAAATCATTATTGAAATACTTTAAAGTGTGATATATTTTTCTATTTGAACTAGATATTAACAGAGTTAGAATAATCTTTTTATAGAATTAACGTTCAATACTCCTTAAACTAGATTGAGGGAAGAACTTTCACCTGAAACGAGTTGGATACTAGCAAAGTCAAGATAATCTCGTTATATAATCACGTTCAAATTTCATTTAAGCGAAAGTATAAAAATTATACTCCTTATAGCAACATCAACCCAATCCCAAATTGCAATATCAATTCAAAATTTCATATTCATCAACATATTATTTTAAAATACAACACCAATTAATTAATATCCAAATACTCTTAAAAAAACTCAAAATATTAAAAATCATAGTTGTCTCAGACATAAAAGGAAAATATATTTAAATAGGTGTCATACATAATTTAATAAACTTTTTTACACTTTAACTTTTAAGAAAGAAAATAAAAATATTGGTTTAATTACTTGTTTAGTCATGTTTTCGTTCAAAAATATCAAATAAATTAATCATTCAGTTTTTTAGTCTCATTTTGGTATCAATTTGTGAAAATTAATGCAATTTGGTTCTAATGTTTGAAAAATTATGCAACGACATCTTTTTAGTTAAATTTCTTAAATGAATTAATGATTTTTTTTTCAAAATTAACACTTTGATTATGTTAAGTATACCAACAAAATAAATTAAAACATCCTTTCTAACTACTTCAATTTTGATAAAAAATATTTGATCCATATTGTAAGGTCCTGGAAACAATATGGGCTATTGGACCTTATTTTCTGAGGCAGCCAGACCCAAAGGGCCAAAGGCACAATGACCTTAGAAGGGGTTCCTGCATTTTCCAGCTCTGATCTCATTTTCCAGCTTCTCCTTCTCTCTCTAAACTCAACTTTCCTTTTCCTTCTCTGCCTTCTCTCTACCCTTACACTCATTTGAACCGTTGAAATTTCAAATAGGTGGTGTTCTTTCACTCACGGAGTTGAGAGCTTCCTTTTTATCCGATTAAATTTCAATTTGGACGGGTAAGTCAGTTTCTCCACTTTTCTTGAACCTAGGGCATGCAACTAGTGGTGCTCCTTTTTGATTCTTTGTCTATTCTAGCTCTAAGAGTTGTTTTCATCATCATTTAGGTGGTTGTAGGCACTGTTTAGGTCTTCACTGTGAAGGCACTGTTAGGGCACTCTAGTTGGCTGCACTGCTCAACTTCAAGGTAAGGGGAGCTAGCTATTTATTCTTCTTTGTGTTGTTGAAACATATGATGTATATGTTTGATAAATTAGTTTTTCTTGTCTTACTATTAAGTGTATTTTGATGGTGAGCATGTTGAATTGGAATCTGTTAAATATGTGAAAGTGTGTATCCATAGTGTACTGAACCTTGTTTGACTTGGATGAGCATGTGTTGGTTGTACTGGTTTTCTGGATTGGAGTAAGAACTCTGGGAAATAGTTAAAATGGATGGTGAGTGGATACATGTACTATTTTAGGTTACTGTGAGGGAAGTGGAGTACCAAAATTGGGTAATTGGGGTCTAGAGTACTATAGGGCAGTTGGGATGACTTAGAAAAATAACTTGGGACTTGTTGAGAGTACTGTGTTGGTAGGATAGAAGAATCTTAAAAACCTGAGTTGGCACATCCCTGATCATAGAGCAGCCCTGATCATAGAGCAGTCCTGACCTGGTCCAGTCAGTTGTGACTAGTCATATGTGCTGGCGTCGAAGATGAGACTGATGCGTTCAGACATCTGATTCTTCTCCGATGACCAATTGGGTTAGGAAGATGTGGTTGAGGTGGAAATCCTGTGTTAGTCATGTTAGAGGAGTAAAAGGTTAAGAGAATATTGTTTTTAGTCCTTTGAGAGGAACTGAGGTAGGAAATTTGAGCATAGGTGGTCTTGAGTGCAATTGGACAGTGTGGCTAGCTTGTATGAGTCAATTAGGAC